ATCCTTTAAAAGGGAGAGTTAAAGTTGAGGAGGAGATGTGAGGACAGAAAGCAGAAATTAGAGAGTGAATTAATTGTGGGCTTTGAAGATGGAGGAAGGGCCCAAGAACTAAGGGAACTGAAATAGATAAGGAAATGGATTCTCTCCTAGAGTTTCCAGAAGGGAAGACAAGCCCTGACAACACCTTTATTTTATTCCTTTTCCAATACCCTTATTTTAACCCAATGAGACTGATTTTAGACGTATGACCTCTAGAATTATAATAATTTGTATTATTTTAAGCCACTAACATTGTGATCTATACAGATCTATACAGTTTGATGTCTACATATTAAAAGTTATACACATTTGATTTTTCAGTTTAAAACTTTCCAAAAAAAAAAATTCGAGACCCAAATGACTTCACTGGAAAATCGATCAAACATATATAATTTTCATGCCAATTCTACACAAACTCTTAAACAAGACACAACAGAAACAAACACTCCCCAACTCATCTTATGAGGCTAGCATTACTCTGATACCAAAACTGGACAAAAACATTTCTTTTCTTTTTTTTTTTTTTTAAATGTTTTATTTATTTCTAGGAGAGAGAGAGACAGCGTGAGCAGGGGAGGGTCAGAGAGAGAGGGAGTCACAGACTGAAATAGGCTCCAGGCTCTGAGCTGGCAGTCAGCACAGAGCCCGACGCGGGGCTCGAACCCACGAACCGCGAGATCATGACCTAAGCGAAAGTTGGACACTTAACCGACTAAGCCACCCAGGCGCCCCAAAAAAAAGAAAACTACAGACCAGTTTGCCCCATAAATACAGAAAAAAATTCTCAAAACTATATTAGCAAAAACAAACCCAGCGATATTTTTAAATGATAATACATCACAACAAAGTGGAACTTCTCCTGAGAATGCAAGATTGCTTAATATTGGAAAAATCAATGGATATAATTCAGCTTATCAACAGAAAAAAGAAGAAAACTCACCTCCTTCCAAAGACACATCAATCTACAACTATGTATGGAATAATTTCCTCAAAACAAAACAAAAACAAAACTAGCTGAGTGACTCCTACATAGACATTAGGCAAAGAAGAAAAATCCCACTTCAAAATAGGTAGGATAGGCTGACACAATCAGCATCAACCACACCCCCAGCACTGCTCCCTGAAGGAGCAAAGGCCATGAACCCCACATTTGGCACCGCAACTTTTAAGACTTGTGCCTGAAAGAGGAGCCCCCCAAATATCTAGCTGTGAAAGCCAACGTGGCTTGCATCCACAAGGCTCAGCGAACTGAGAAACACTTCTTCAAGGGCTCATGTGGATTCATCCATTCCAGGGCCCAGAGCAGAGGTAGCCAACTGAAAGGCACCCAGACTTTCTGTGAAAGAGGCCCGTTTTCTTATCTTAAAGCACTGGCATGGAGGAGGCAGGGATCTAACTGAACACACACCTAGGGAACTACAGGAATAATCTCCAAATATGCTCTCTCTCTGCCTCACTCCAAGTTGCCAGTAACTCCCAGAAAGACACTTGTACACTTGCTTGGAGCTCCGATTTTTGCTTTACAGATCCCACCCGACTGTAACAAACAGAGAAGTAATTCTTACTGGGGACCATCCCCAGGTTACAGTAGAGAGGCAGCAGACTGGGGAGCCTAGACTGCAGAAGAGGTCTATTAGCTTAGCATCATGGCTTCAGCCTGAGGAGCAGGCTTGCAATTAAACACACATCCTAAGGGCTGACTGTAATCCTTTCCGAAGATCAGTCTTCTTATTCTCCCTCTGTGTGACCCAGATCACCATTGTCCCTCAGAGAAGACACATCTGTTACCTGTTTTTAAGGCTGCCATCCAGGAGACGCCCTTTGGTCACCTGGCTTTAGATGCCAGCAGGGCTTGCATTTGTGGGTACCAGGGGACTGGGACAAAGGGAGTGATGGTGCAAGGGCAAAGGCAGAGACACTAGACTGAAACACACCCCCAGTCTTTTTGTTAAGGAATCTTTAATGTAAGGCTCTCTTGTCTTAGAGCTTCAGCCCGAGGGGCAGGCTTCCGGTTTAGCACACACCTAGGGGCCTGCTGAAGTGCTCTCCAATGAGAGGCCAATGGGCACTATCATTGCAGCTCTCCTGCCTTGCTGTGGTTCACTGATACTCCTGGGTGGGAGACTGTGCATTCATCTGATTTTTATAGCTGACACCCAGGAGACACCTCCTGGTTACCTGGCTCCGGTCATCTGGATGGCTTGTGGTCACAGGTCCTGAGGAACTGTTACTAACGGAGAAATTGTTCTTAACCAGCTACCTACCCCAGGGCATAGCACAGAGACAGCAGAGTGAATAGTCCCCAGTCTTTCTGTGAAAGAGGCCTATTACCTTATCTTCATAGCTGGGGCCTAAGGGGTAGGCTTTTTTTTGTTAATGTTTATTTTTGAGAGGGAGACAGAGAGACAGAATATGAATGGGGGAGGGGCAGAGAGAGAGGGAGACACAGAATCCCAAGCAGGCTCCAGGTTCTGAGCTGTCAGCACAGGGCTCAATGCAGGGCTCAAACTCAGGAGCCAAGCTGTGAGATCATGACCTGAGCCACTTAACCAGCTGAGCAACTCAGGTGCCTCCTAAGGGTAGGATTCTAATCAAAAATATACCTAGAGGCTGACTATAATCCTCTCCACAAACCAGGAAGGCTGGGGGGGCGCCTGGGTGGCTTAGTCGGTTAAGCGTCCAACTTTTGCTTAGGTCATGATCTCGCGGTTCGTGGGTTGGGTTCGAGCCCCGCGTCAGGCTCTGTGCTGCCAGCTCAGAGCCTGGAGCCTGTTTCAGTCTGTGACTCCCTCTCTCTCTGACCCTTCCCTGCTCACGCTCTCTCTCTCTCCTATAAATAAATAAAACATTAAAAAAAAAATCAAAAAAAACAAACAGGAAGGCTGGCAGGTGCCATCTTCATTCCTTCCCTCTGCCCCACTCCAGGTTGCTGGTGTCTCTCTAAGGAGTCTGTGTACACTTATAATACGCTGGCTTTAGTGACCACTGCCAGAAGACCCATCCCTTGATAGCCTGGCTTTGGAGGTCTGGAGGGCTCTGTTCACCAGTTCAGTGAGATAGCACCAAACTAAGAAACAGTTCTTAACTGGCCATCATCCTAGGATTCAGTGCAGAGAAAGCAAACAGAAATGCCCACCTCTCAGTCTTCTCTTAAAAGGGGATTTTTATATGCTTTAAAAGCTTCTGCCTGAGAATCTGGATTCCAATTAGCCTGAATCTAAGTAATGACTGAGATCCCCCTCTTTAGAACACTAAAAGATCTTGGTGCACCTTCAACTCCTGGGAACCACTAAGAATAAAAGCAGGCTGCTTGAACAATTACAAAGGCATGAGAGACAAGTCCATGTTCATTGCAGTATTATTTACAAATAGCCAAGACACAGAAGCAATCTAATTTCCATCAGTGGATGAATGGATAAGGAAAATGTGATATATAAGACAACACGCTATTATTCAGCCATAGGAAAGAATGAAATAGCAGGAAATCTTGTCATCTGTGACAACATACATGAAATTTGAGGACATTATGCTAAGTGAAATAAGTCAGAGAAAAGATAAATACTTTATGACTGCACATGTGAAATCCAAAAAAAGACAACAAAAAAACACAAAGTTATAGAAAAAGAGATCATATTTGTGGTTACTAGAGGTGGGAGATGGGGTATGGGGTAATTAGATGAAAGTGGTCAAAAGGTACACACTTCTAGTTATAAGATATATAAGTACTGGGGATATAATGCACAATACTTAACACTGTGATCTGGCATATTTGAAACTTAAGAGACAGATCCTAAGAGTTATCATCAAGAAAAAAACTTTTTTTAGTTTATATGAGATGATAGATGTTAACTAAATGTATTACAGTAATTCTTTTGCAATATATGTAAGTCAATTCACTATCTTGTATACTTTAAACTTATACAGTGATGTATGTCAATTACATCCTAGTAAAACTGGAAAAAATACACAGGCAATTGATACTCAACTTGGCTCTGCATCAGAATTGCTTATGTGGCTTTAAAAAAAAAAGCAATGTTATATGTACATATAATTTTTAAGGCTCCATGGTTATTCTGATTAGCAGCCAAGGTTGTAAACAAGAACAAACTACTACTTAAAAATTTTCAAAAGGAGAGCAATCCACTTATAAAAATGTCTTATTACTAGCAATCACATGCTTTTAAAAAATGCTTATCTAAGGGTGTCATCGCAAAAAGGAAACTGACACCAATTCAAGAAGCAGTTTGAAAGCAGAAAATTGAAAGGTAAATATTAGAAGAAAGAAATTGCTTCTAATAGATATTGCCTGCTTTTTTATGACAAAGAAGGTAGCAGATGAAAATAGGAAAAACAAGTTAATAATAAGAAAAAGCAAATTAGTGCTCTGAATTTTTAGGTTGTTTTATTTATTTTTTAAATTTTTAGGCTGTTTTAAAATAGCTTTTCTACTAAGCAACTAGCATCATAAGCATCACCTTAACTGATGCCCAAATAGATATGCTACAAATCCATCAGAGACCCCTTTAACCTCTCCCTCATTCCAACACGCAGAGGGATACAGCTGCAGTTCACATTTATCACCCAAAAGTTAACTGCAAACTCAGCTGTCAGTAGATACCACTGTCAATGACTAGCTTGAAAAAAAGTACAGAGTGCAAACAGATGGTTACCAGAAAGGAGGATAGAAGGATGGGCAAATGGGTGAAGGGAGAGGGAGATACAGACTTCCAGTGACAGAATGAATACGTTAGACGCATAAAAGGCAGAGCATAGGGAATATAGTCATTGATACTATAACAGTGTTCTATGGTAACAGTGGTAGCTTCGTGTGTGGTGAGCACAGCATGACATATAGAGTTGCTGAATCACCACGTCGTACACCTGAAACTAACATGACATTGTACCAACCATACTCAAATAAAAATGATTTTTAAAAACTTTTTCTGAACACATACACATAATTCAGGAGGGAGGAAATGTTTATTTTTCATTAATCTTTTGAATGCAACCACCATAATTTTTCAGGTTTAATTTAGTAGCAAACTTGATTAATAACGTTTCCAGGTGTTCATAATTTCAAGGCTAAAGTTCCAATGAAGGAAATACAGTTATCAATTTAATATAAATGAAGTTTTTAAAAAAGGCTAAAAGCAGTCTCATACTTAAAAAGAAAATATAAATGATCCAGACTTTAGACTTTAGTAACATAAGTACCTTACAGTACTACAATAAACAGAGAGAAAGATCTTAACTGAATATCAGAAAGAAGCACCTCTATTTTTCTTCTGCAACATGTATGTTTTGGTCATTAGCATGCTAGTATGAATGAGGCAATGTGTCAAGCACTGGCATACAGAAAGTGCAGCGAGATGTAAAGGAAGGTCGTGGTGGCAGTGGGAGGCACGGCACAGGGGTCTCTCTCCAGTTGGTACCTCAGTCATCTTCTCCTCCACACAACAGCAAGAGGGCTTTCTTATAGTCCCCAGACGTATCACCCTGAAACCCAAATGTACTCTGTTAAGCATCATGAGTCACAGAAGCTGCAGAAAGTAAAAAAAAAAAAAAAATAGATGTCTGGCAAACAGTTTTATTCATATGACTTTTTTCCCAAGTGGATAATCTCTATGTTTGTGACTTTCACATCAGGAATGTTATCCAAGAAGTGTCCTACTGATGTAACACACTTTTAACTTTCTAATTTTACCCCTTCAAGGCACAGCTCTAAGACAATGAAGTACGCTCTTCTTCACTCTAGCGACACAAAGAACAAGAAAGATTTTACAATGATATTCAAATCAAGCTTTCTTAACTTCTAGGGTTTTTTCCTTTTTTTTTAAAAATGTTTTATTTATTTCTAGGAGAGAGAGAGAGAGAGACAGCGTGAGCAGGGGAGGGTCAGAGAGACAGGGAGTCACAGACTGAAACAGGCTCCAGGCTCTGAGCTGGCTGTCAGCACAGAGCCCGACGCGGGGCTCGAACCCACGAACCGCGAGATCATGACCTAAGCGAAAGTCAGACGATTAACCGACTAAGCCACCCAGGCGCCTGGGTTTTTTCCTTTCTAAAAAAAATGTTTATTTTTTTTCGAGAGAGAGTATGAGTGGGAGAGGGGCAGAGAGAGGGAAACACAGAATGCCAAGCAGACTCCAGGCTCTGAGCTGTCAGCACAGAGCCGGATGCGGGGCTCAAACTCACGGACTGCAAGATCATGATGAGAGCTGAAGTCAGAGGCTTAAATGACTGAGCCACTCCGACACCCCTAAACTTCTAAGTTTCTAACATTTACCATGTACCTGGCTAAGGGAGGCAATCTGGGGGCTATCTGGCTATTATGTTTTTGCTTCAAAGACAGAAGCAGGTAAGCTTGACCTCTGCTTATCTCATATACAGATATGTAGGATAAATTAGTGTTTCAAACTCAGAGTGCATGCAAGTGAGAACTCTCCAGTGCCCTTCAAGCCATCCATACCATACACACACACACACGCACACAAAGTTCAAAGCTTGCTCAGTTGAGATACTGCTTTGCATACGGCCCACTTTCCCCTTTATCAAAAGAAAGAAAAAGTGAAAAGAGGGAAAGAAAAAGAGAGAGAAAAGAAAGTCAAAAGGTCTTAAGCCACATTTAAATATAGGCCACAGTCTCCCTTGCTTTTAAAAGGATAAAAATGATAGTAATACCTAAACTCTACTTATTTCTCATATAACCTGGTTGGTTCTTTCCTGAACTATGAACGAACACCATAGACAAGCTGGTAACAGACAATAAAAAAAGGAAAGTCTGATATGGGAGGAAGGAGGAATGAATAAAGACAGCCGGAACTGATAAAAGAGAGAAAGAACAAACACATTATCATCAGGGACAGAGGTTGGGTTTGTTGGGTCATCTCTCACCACTACTAAATAATGCTTCTAGGCTCACAAAAGCCTCTAACGTTTCCAAGAGCCAATCTTTCACTTGGGAGCCATCATCCATACTTTAGGAAACATTATGCCAAGTTTTAGAAGTCATAGCTCTAATCACATGACTAAAATTGGAAACTTCAGCAAGAACTGGGTTCTCTCATCCATGTCTTACATGCTATCTATTGGTCTGCTCTGGATTTCTCCAGATAATTTAAAGAAAGATTCTATTACCTTAATCATGGAATAAAGAGAGGTGGCAAAATTCTTCCTGAACTCCTTCCTAATGTTAAACAAATCAATCTCGCTCCTGGACACCATGACTCTGATGAGGGTATGATCATCTGTCCCAGCTCCCTTTAAAAAGGAAAGAAAGAGAAGCACATTTTTTAAAAATGTCAAATATGGCATCAAACTCCCCTGCGTTAGGATGAATCAATAAAGTAAAACAATCTGGTAGTATGTTTTAAGGAGAACAACAACAACAAAAAAACCCATAGTCTATCATTTCAATCATAATAATACACAAATATAACTAAAGAGATAAATTAATTAGATAAAAGATTCACGGTATGCACTTACCTTCATAGCATAGTAGAGGGTTTCTGCAAGATAGGCAGGTATGCTTCGAATAGATTTCACTAAGAAAATAAATAATACAACAGTCAGACGCTATTCTGATAGCAAAAGAAGTAATTAAAAATCAAAAGTTGCTTCATGCTTATTGCTCTACTTATTTACAAATACAAAAGTAACTACTAGGCTGAAAAACTCCTCATTTGCAAACTGATCTGATCTCCTTATTCACCAAGTATTTTCTTAGAAATTGGAGGATTGGGATTTCCTTAAAGTTCTGAGTTCTACATAAAAAGGTATGTAGGACAAGGCATGTGAGTTTTTCAACTGCCCTTTGTTCTATGAGCACATTTCTGCTATCGCAGTTTGGGTGGCCTGGGCTGTTACACCACAACTTTCTTCATCTTCAATAAATTATACAAACATTCTAGAAGCTTTCAATCCAACACATTCAAGCAAATAACACAAGGTATTCTCTCCATATTTAATATCTATGATTTACATAGAGCAGCATGAGACTTATCTAATTCAGTAGAAACACCCAGATAAACTGATAAGAGAAAAAGAGTATCTTCCCTGAACATGTATGTATCTACTCTGTGTCAGGGCTGCTCAGATCTCAGTTGGCTCAGCTTCATAAACTATCCATATAAAAATTCCTTAATATACAGAAGTAACAATCCATGAATTGGGGGTGGTGGAGTTATTCTCTCTTTTCCAATGCTTAAACAAAACAGCCACCAGTAACTAAAAATGTCATTATTTTAAGTGTATTGTAATTAGGAAGGGACTGTCTAAAAGTTTTCTAGTAAAATTCATTAACTGTGGAAGTCAGATCAAACGCTACCACTACTGGTGGTTCATGAACATTGTTAGCTTACTCTCCAGAAGACAACACAAAACTCGAGCTCAATGCCAAATACTCAGAACAACCAGCACACAGGTTCACCCCAAACCCATATGAAAACTAGGGCCACTGGGAACTCACAAACTAGATTCTTCGGGTTTGGAGAGTATATACTACTATCATAAACTGCACAAACTCAGTTCTCCAATTTTTCCAGATCATTCTGAATATTTAGCTGAAACAAATTTCCAAATTAATCTGTAAACAATCATTATTATATATCTTCCATCATACAAAAGATATTTTTTCTAACTCAGCTGCCAATTCTTCAGTCAGCCTCAAAGCTGTGAGGACAGCATTCAAAAAGAATACTATAATTCCACAAGTATCCAAAATATTTACAAGCCTCTGAGATACTGCCCATGCTTCAGATTCATAATAAAATAGTAGTATTTTTAATGCAGCTTCAAAACGACTTTTAAACAATTGTTTCAGTATTTGCACGGGATTAGATGAACTAACCAGATTAATTCTTTTCCAACATCAAAACAGACTTTGAAATGGAAATTGAGGAGTTTGCTTCACCCAAATATCACAAGCCCTTCTTTTAATAAAAAAAGAAATGGTTATTTTCAGATACATCTTCAACTGAATGAAATGCTTTAGCTCTTAACACCATAAATTTTATATACATTGTAAAACTACTTACCAACAGCAAGGAGTAATTGCTCCAAATTACCAGAAGTCTCTCGGTCAATGGTTTCCTCAATTTGAAATCCTGATATAGTCATGTATTTATCAAACACTATAAAAAGGAAAATAATTTCTTAATCATGTAAGGATCATTCTGCAAGGAAAGATGACATTTACTCTAACCAGGTATTGTCCTACTGAACACAAATCTCCCCTTTTTCTTTGCTGACAGAACTCTGACTTTGTTGTAGAGCCTCAATATGACAAGCCCTAAACAATGAAGTATATTCTTTGTTCACTGATTTCCTGACCTCTACTTATGAGTTATAACCAATGAGACCAAAGGTAAATCTGCTGGAGAGGATTCTGAGAAATCTTCCTTTCCTTATTAAAAAGTGATAAACAGGGGCATCTGGCTGGCTCAGTCAGTTAAGTGTCTGACTTCGGCTCAGGTCATGATTTCACAATCTGTGAGTTCGAGCCCCACATCGGGCTCTGTGCTGACAGCTCAGAGCCTGGAGCTTGCTTCAGATTCTGTGTCTCCCTCTCCCCATACCCCTCCCCTGCTCATACTCCGTCTCTCTCTCTTACAAAAATAAAATAAACACATAAAAGAAATTAAAAGTAAACTTTTTAAAAAGTGATAAATACTGGTGCCTGGATGGCTCAGTTGGTTAAGCATCCAAATTTGACACAGGTCATGATCTCATGGTTCAGGAGTTCGAGCCCTGTGCTATCAGCACAGAGCCCGCTTCAGATCCTCAGTCCCTTCTCTCTCTGCCCTTCCCCTGCTCATGCTCTATCTCTCAATAGTAATAAACACTGAAAAAAAAGTATTAAAAAAAGTGATAAACAGATATGATTAATTTGTCCCTTTCTTCTTGCTATTAAAGTCATTGATAAATTTGGAACTTCAGTAGCCATCCTGTGAGTGAGGTACAGAGCATGAGAAAGAAAACCCCAAAATACCAAGGACAGTGGTGCAGAAAAACAAAAAGAGCCCAGGTCCTGCCAAATGAGCCAAGGAATGCTACCTACAGAAGAGCCAATTTTTAAAGCCCTAGTAAGGTCTCCTGTCACTTGCCACTGAACTTTTTCCCACCTGACACCACAAGAACGAATGAATGTCTAGAGCTGAGGTCGTGCGTACCTCTACTTAGGGGGAAATACCTGAAGTGAGCCACGGCTCTGTGATTCATGACTGTGAGAGTAACGATCTAGAGGCCTAGCTCCCTTGTCAACCTCTGATGGGTGCAAAGGGGGCTACTAAGGATCTCTAGTTCTGTAAACACTACAATAGCTACAAAGAGAATGATGAGATTTTTCATGGTTACCAAAAGGAAGAAATAAGAAAACTGATTCACTGAGTAAGTGCCTGTTATATAGTATATATTTTGGTACACTGGCTTTCAAAATTAACCAAAGCACCTGTACCATACACATTTTTTCACTCACCCCTTCTCAAATGAGACACACTTCGTGTTCCAAAGATGGTGATGAACTTCTCTTCATCTGTCCCCCATTTCAGTTCTCCAGCTTGAAACAAAGCCTGTGAAAATTTCAACCTCAATTAGTATATCGTTCCTCCATGTCATTTCCAGGTTCTGAATCATACCTGTTTTACTCCCTGTACCTTAATGCGCCTGATTCACCATTGTATACTTTTCTGTTTCCTAAATTCAATGAGGTGAGTATGGAGCTATTTTGGAGCTTGCCACTGAACTGTGCCACAGATTAAGGACTCAAAGCAATCAAGCACAACAATGGGGCAAGGTTAATCGTTCCCAAAATGTCTACCATAATGCCAGTCTTTCAGGGGCAATGGTGTGGTTGGCAGAAATTTGTGATCACCTCGCTCCTGACACATCCACCTACAGACTGGGAAAGAATTTAACTAGGAGCTAAACTGTCTACATTTTCTGTTTTGCTTACTCGGCAGCTGTTCAGGAACACATGATAAAAAGTAAACTCCATTATTTTCTCTTTTTAGCTGCAGTTTAACCAAAACTAACTACAAAGAGTTTTCACATTTCTAAAAGATCACAATGGGGGCGCCCCCATGGCAGTGGCTCAGTCAGTTAAGCGTCTGACTCTTGATTTCGTCATGATCTCATCATTCGTGAGTTCAAGCCCCATGTCCGGCTCTGCACTGAAAGCATGAGGCCTGCTTGGGATTCTCTAGCTCTCTCTTTCTCAAAAAATAAATAAACATACATTAAAATTAAATAAAAATAAAAGATCACAATGATTTTTTTAAAAGGTTGTAGGTGTACCACAATGCCTGGCATACGGCAAGCAATTAACATATACTTGTTGACAATTAACATATACAACATGACTTGTTGTTTGAGTGTCCTGGTTTACCTCTTAAATGGAGAATACATGTTTTTTAGTATTCATATAATTGCTAAAAAAATAAAATTATATATAAATATCATCATTAAACTTTATTCCACTTATTAAGATGTGGATAATTTATTAAAACCCAGTGAATCAACCTTTAAAATGTCTATACTACCCTTTTTATTCATTTCCAGGTAAGTCTACCTATTAAGCCAAGACAAATGCAATTTGCTATGCCTACTACTAGGAGCTGCCTTTATGCTCACAAGTGGCAAACCACATAAGGACAGAAGGTGATGTGATCATAGCATGTGTTTAGATGAAGAAATTTTGATCATAGTGTGTTTAAGAATGTAGATTATGATGAGACAGATCTATTTTTTGTTATATTTCCAGGGAATTTTGAAAAATGAGTCACAATCTTTACACTCAATTTTGAAAAGGATTTATTTTAATTATAAAAATAAATAATACCAACTCTGGTCATGTGAGTATGTTCTTCAAAACTGAAAAGAGTTACAATGAAAGTTGTGCAAGTATCTAAACTTTAGAACTACATCATGGTATTATAGACTTGTCTTAAAATAACTCTTATATCTAATTACAAAAATAACACATGTTCGCTGAGAAATTTTATAAAACAAAAGAAAAAAACATAAGAAAAAAATTACCATGAATGCCAACATCCTAAAGACATTAGTTACTACCTTTAAAATGTTTTCTACACATAGATAAGATATACATACACACTGACACCTAAAACAGACGGGTATATTCTATATAATCCTGGAAGCATTACTGAAGTACTCCTTTCTGAACAAGTATTCGATATGCTAGAAATTTTCTCTACTAGGTATAGGAGACTTAAGCCTGTTAAAATGGAAATAATTTGCTGCAAATTATTAATTATTATTAAAATAGCCATTTTGCTATTTTAAACTAGAATCTCTTGGGGCACCTGCGTGGCTCACTCGGTTAAGTGTCTGACTGGCTCAGGTCATGACCTCATGGATTGTGAATTCAAGCCCTGCATCAGGCTCTGTGCTGACAGCTCAGAGCCCGGAGCCTGCTTCGGATTCTGTGTGCCCCTCTCTCCTCTGCTCCTCCCCTTCTCTCTTTCTCTCTCTCAAAAATGAATAAACATTAAAAATAATTTTCTAAAACCTAGAGTCTCATAATTTTCTTAAGAGAATTATGTTTTAGATCAATATGTATTCTAAAATTACTAAATAAATCACATGCAGTAATGATAAACTTCATATGGAATACTGATTTTTAAGTTTTGGTTTTGTCTTGCTTGAATGTAAGAGTCTTTTCTTCTAAATGAGGATGGTGAATATCCATGGAGCTGCTCTGGATGAGGGACCCTCACAACCTCCTCATCCTCCCCTCCTCCCTCAGAGTGGGCTTTACAGTTTAGCTCAGTTTGACAACCTCTGGTTCAGTGCAAAGTAGAGGTTTTGGAGTCAAAAAGACCTGGTCCTTGTCCTTATCTGTGAGATCTTAGATGAGTTACTTAATCTCTTCTTGAGTCTCAGTGTCTTCACCTACAGAGTAGGAATAATATTTCTAGAGAGGCATTAATGCAGATTATGTAACTTAGATAATGAATGCATTAAACAGTATCAGGTAATCAAAAGCAGGTACTTGGTAAACACTGACTCCTTCTCTTTCCCTTCTCCTCCCCCACTTCACCTAACTGCTCAGCTTTCTCTCCATGAACATAAACCAAGAATTTGGACGGGGGGAGGAAGTAAAATCAGTTTAACACATTAAAAATATAACAAAGTAAAGTGGATTATCTACAAAATGTTAATTTCCCAGGTGAATGACTCACTGGCTTATCAAATTCCTGGAAAAAGAAAGGAATTCTCTTAATGCCAGGTATCAGTAGAGAAAAAAGCTTATAAAAGGCCAAAGGCCCTGTGGTTGTCTCAGCTTACTCTCAATTAAGGAATCTTAAATTCCCATTAATAAGAACAGTCCAGCTACCCTTGCTACAAGAATTAGGTGTGTTTCTTTTCATAATGGTAAAAGGATAATTATTTTTAACAGTCTGAATTAACTAATAATAATACCTTTTAAAAAATAAAAAAACTGGGGTGCCTGCGTAGTTCAGCTGGGTAAGCATCAGACCCTTGATTTTGGGTCAGGTCGTGATCTCATCATTCTTGACTGAGCCTTGCATCAGGCTCTGTGCTGACGGCATGGAGCCTGCTTAGGATTGTCTCTCCTCCTTTCTTTTACCCTCCCATGCTCTCTCTCTCTCTCTCTCTCAATAAACAAAAACAAAACAAAAAAAAGACTCAAAGACTAATGGCCAATGTAACATGTTCTGTTGTTCTTAATCACCAAAAGGGTAAAGAAAACCTGGATTCTATTTAAGGGATATTCTAAGGTAACTTCGTAAGATGGTTTTCAGATATAAAGTTTCCCCTTCACGGTTCTGAATGTTCATATCCTCTGCACAGCAGGTAAGTGACACCTATATAGACCTGGCACTCAAAATGTGGCCCCAGGACCACAAAGGTATAATCTGAGAGCTTGTTAGAAATACAGAATCCCAGGCTCCACCCAGACCTACTGAGTCAGAATCTGCAGTTTTAAGGACATCCCCAGGTGATTCACATGCACTTAAAAGTCCAAGAAGCAATGCTATACACTGAGTGCCCTGAGGAGAAAAATCAATGAATATGAGGTAAAAACACACTGTTTCTACTCACTAGTCTCACACTGCAGCAATGCTCTCATTACATCACCAATTGTGCTGGGAAACCAGCCCAATGCATGCTAATGTAGGACCCACTGCAGTCATCTGAGACCACTAGAGTTGGCTTCTTCCACCGCTGACCACCAAAAAGCATCTAGAATTCCTACTCTTCAGAGTAGGTGTATGAGAATCACATTGTTTCCTACAAAGCCCACAAATAATACTTGGAAAGCAATAAGGTCATCTCTCATAGTTGGGAGTACTGGTTTGAAGGGCTGACCTAGAACTTTCTCCTCAAGGAGCCAAATTTTCTTTTTCTAACAATGCAGAGTTAAGCTAGACCTGTGCTTCAAATCTATATTTAATAAGCCTTTTACATGGTACAGGAACCAGGGGAGAGGAATTAGCAGGCAAGAATACAGACTGTCATCTAGCTGAAAGAGAAAGGGCTTGGGGGTTAGACAGGCCTAGGTACAAATCCAGCTCCAATACTAGTCAGTGAGGACCATGAGCTTGATTCTCAAATCCTTGAGCCTCAGTTTCCTTATCTATAAAAGAAAAATCATCCCCTCTACTTCAAAGTTATGTACTAATCCATTCACCAGTTATATACCAAATACCTACTAGATGCTAAATCCAGAGAATACAAACTGAACTGAAAGCTCAGAGTGCCCTGGGCAAGCAGACAAGTAAATAGGCAGCTTCAATATAAGGTGGCTGGACTGGGACAGGAAGCTGGAGATTCTATAGTCTTTCCTGTAAGGGCACCTGACATATATTGGGAGGAGTCAGGCAGGGAGACCTGAAAAGTAGCTAATCTGAAGACTGATTCCTGCAGAAAAAATAGTCAGGTGAATAGGTGGAGGAAGAGGGAGGTAGAGAAAGAAAGATCAAGAGAGGCTGGAGGCATAAGAAAGCAAGGGACAGATAACAAAGAGGCTTATAAACCACATTTAGGGCTTGAACTTTATTCTGAAGATCATGGGATCCACTGATGTTTTAAGGTTTTATATAGGGATGTGACACACGTTTGCATTTTATGGAGGACAGTGAGAGAAGCATCAAATACTGCATAGACAGTCTTCAGTAAATATTATTTGCTTTCCCTCTGTCTTCAGCTAGACAAAAAGATGCCAATATTCCAAAGCCATTATAAAATCAACCCACCCAAAAGAATACTAACACCATCTCTTTCCCATTAGCAAAGTGGGATTACACATCCAATGGCTGTTTCACAGAGAAGCCAACTGGAGTGACTTGAAGTGAATATGACCCTTCATTTTTCAACGGTATAGGACCAACAATCAGAATTGTATACTGAAACATGTGACCAGAGAGACAGGACTATTGTATATGATTCTAGGAATGCAAATAATTCTTTTATTACCAATTTCCAGTTTTCAAGTCTCGTGTTTCAAATATTTCCTAACACTATTTCCTACATTTGATTACTTATGTTTTTATAAGTTTTTTATTTTAATTCCAGTAAAGTTAACATGCAGTGTTATATTAGTTTCAGGTGTACAATATAGTGATTCAATAATCCTATATATTACTCAGTGCTCATCATGGTAAGTGTACTGTTTAATCTCCACCTATTTCACCCATCCTCCTACCCACCTCCCCTCAGATTACCATCAGTTTGTTTTATTACTTATTAACCACAGTAAGACTATACTGGGGTTTAAAAGCCATTTGAGTATAGAATTTCATTTGGAAGTCACTAAAAAGCAGCTGTCAAGAGAACAATCCTATTTAGAATTCTATCAAAAGAAAGGTGGAGGAATTCCCACATACTACAATAACCTGTAATCTATGATTTCAGACACCATTTATCACTAAACAACCTTATTATTTCTTTTTTATCCTTTCCTGTCAAGACACCTACTTCCTCACTGACAGCAGAATCAATAATACCTGTGCTTTTTGGTAAAATTATCTATTTTGTGAATTTCCATAATCACCAAAAAAATATATATCTGTGTGAAATTCACTATTTATATGTAATTCATTTTATTTCATTTCAGTCTGGGGACAAAATATATTACTGGCCAGAGCAAAATGAGAGAAATATACTTACATGGGTCTTATGATTTATAAAGGGCCCATAAATAAGAATATTTTAGATGCTATAACAATATATATTATGATTTTCCATTAGCATGGATTCTTTATTCATTTATATGTCATAATAAAGTCACCACACATCACATCTCACCTGAGCATCTTGTTCAACTTGTGCTTCATCAATTCTACCATCAGGGTCTCTATTAGCCTAAAAGAGATAATGTCACATTACTGAATTACATGAGTAGTTTTATTCAAAAGGAAAATTGATTCCACCTGACGGTTGTACACAAAGAGCTCTTTCTCTTAGGAATAATATGGTTTTAAGATAGCAATTCTACAATACTTCATTCATCACACAGCAGTGTCCAAAACCAATCTGACCCTATCGATTTTAAATCCTAGGAATGAAAGAGAATAGTGATATCTTACACTAAACAAACAAACAAGCAAACCTGTAAATTAGCTACTAACTATTACAAGTTTAGGTCAGATATTCTGAAACACAAACACAGGCAAGCAAGTACCAGAAATGATTAAAAGAGTTTTAAATGACCTTATTTAACCAGATTCAGACCAGTCCGCTTCAGATTTTTAAATCAAACTACAAATAGTCTCCGGCCAGTACCTGAAGGAGAACCACCAACATCCTCTGGTAGTACCCTGATGTATCCCCAACCACGTCATCTTCCAGGCTCGAGCCATATTCTGCAACAGAATTATTTTATACTTATTTAGAGCTTCTTTCAACTAAACAAAGACATCCTGCCCCATTAATCAAATGGAAGAGACATAAAGAAATACTTGATTAGTATAAATGTTCCCTACTCCATCTCAGAGTGCTGTAAAGACTAAAGGCTAATGCTTCCATGAGTGGTTGATAGAAAAAAAATTAAAGTCTCCCAAAAGCTGTCAGTTCAAACCTAAATCCATGACTCAGCCATTTAGAAATGCTCTCAACCAATGTAGACAGACACATGATGGTACAGTAAAGCCTCCAACATACAATTGATCATAATTTTAAACTTTGTATTGCTTTCTTTCAAACGTTTTACACAATTAGTTTCAAAAGAAGGTCTTCTATTCTCTAAAATTCTGAGTTTTTTTCTTTAGGCGTGACCATTCCTTCACTTAATAAGATATTTTTCCTCTACAGCAAATAAGGTTAACTCTGAAAGATAGCAGTGATATTTTTAAAAATGCCCCTTCCCACCTCTATTTCCAGTTATTCAGCATAATGCCATAGTAAAGGGGAGAACTGGTATCTGTAAAAGTCTATATGCCCTTTTCACTAACTTTCAAACAGCTGCTATTGAAGGCAGCTCAAAGACATTTAAATAACCATTATCTGAAAGCAGACAAACTTTAAAAGGTTGGCACTTCTATTTTAAAAGGTCTAAAAGCTCTAGGGGTGCCTGGGTGGCTCAGTCAGTTAAGTGTCTGACTTCAGCTCAGGTCATGATCTCACAATAAACGAGTTCAAGCCCGGCTTCGGGCTCTGTGCTGACAGCTCAGAGCCTGGAGCTTGCTTCAGATTCTGTGTCTCCCTCTATCTCTACCCCCCCCCATCCCCTCACAATCTCTCTCTTTCTCTCTCAAAAATAAAATAAACATTAAAAAATAAAAGGTCTAAAAGCTCTAAAAGAGCTACATGTTTAATTCAATGAGTTATCCAAATACAAAACAATTGAAAGAATCTTCTTATCCCTTCCTCTACTACAAAACCTATATATGTTTAACAATCAAATCCTTTCAAATACTTTTCCTCTCTCTGATTTAACCCCCTCACACTTCCCACCCACCTAGGTTGAGACATAACTGCCTAATCACCTCTCACACTTAAAGCTAATCAGATTTGAATCAAGAGGCTGATTAGCCTCCTTCCTTTGCTCCTTAATACTCCACTGTCCCATTCAGGGATGTGCAATACCTCTGAATCAAGTCCAAACTTCTAACCCAGCCATATAAAACCATCTACAAAACAGCCTGCATGAGCCAATTTATCTCCTGCACTAGACATGCACATATCCTCCATGGCCGTCAGGTTCTTTCCATTCCCTCAATACACTTTTCTCACTGCAGTCTCCATGCCATTGCAGACAGTGACCAAAATGCCAAAAATGTTTTCATCACCACCCCAAACCTACCTAGTCTTGAAAGCTTGTGTGGCTGTACCACAGGGCCTCTTCTAACATCAAAAGCCTCGATGACCTCTCTGGTCTAAAAAATTCTTGCATTACAGATTTTTGGTATTCGACTTTAGTCTGGGTTTTACTATCCTTTAACAACTGCATATTTTCTATGTCATGTCACCCCTAAATAGATTGCAAACTCCTTATGACAGGAGCTATGTTATGTTTATCTTTTGTGTCATTCATGCCAGCCAGTACACTGTTCATTCATGACACACCAGACACATAGTTAGTGTGCATAATACGTGACCATACATACAGTTACTAGACTCTTACAGCGTTCCATAGGTCATGCAGCACACAAAGGCTCACTCACCAGTGTCAACATGCAAGAAAGAGATCTCTGAATATTATGTCAAATAAAACTCTAAGGTGATTTTCTGTAGTTAAGATACATGTATTCCCCTCTGGCTTACTGGCTGGGACCTATCCAACTATAAAAAGAGAAGCAGGAAAGAAAGATCCAACACTTTAGAAAGTTAACTATTTAGCTGCTATAAATTTCACACTGTTTTGACTTGCTGAATTACAATGTCATTCCTAAGATTAATAAACTGATGCCTAGATTGAGACCCATTTTCCTAGCAGAAGGCATTGAGCTAGTTGGTCTGTTGACTGGGCTGACCATCTGGATAGTCTGCACCTGCTCAGTCAAGTAGGACAAAGAGTCTGGTACAGAAACGCTGATGAGATGAGACATGAACACTTTACCTTTACTTTTTATTTCATTTCCTTGGATCCATTCACAAAATATACTTCAGATTGAAATACAGCTTTTTTTCCACACAAAAAAGTAAGGTACGCCAAAGCGAAAAATTAAAATGCAGAATATCCAAGCATTACCATTAGCTAAAATGACACATTTACTCAAACATTTTTATCAATTCCAATTTGGACATGGTTTCTTTTCCAAAATTCTACAAGGGTCTTTCAGAGAACTCTTAACTTCTACTAACTTAAAAGTAATTTTCTGGGGCGCCTGGGTGGCTTAGTCGGTTAAGCGTCTGACTTTCGCTTAGGTCATGATCTCGTGGTTCGTGGGTTCGAGCCCTGCGTCAGGCTCTGTGCTGACTGCCAGCTCAGAGCCTGGAGCCTGTTTCAGTTTGTGACTCCCTCTCTCTCTGACCCTCCCCTGCTCACGCTGTCTCTCTCTCTCTCTCTCCTAGAAATAAATAAAACATTAAAAAAAATTTTTAAATAAAAGTAATTTTCTTCAGGAAGAAAACCTACATCCATCTTGAAGTTAAAGTAAAAGAAAAGCAACCTGTATGTCTCTACACTAGTTGCAAACTCAAAGTAAAAATAAACTCCCATCTTCATCAGGGGATTCTCATAAGTACCAAAATAAATACAGGTACAGTAAAAAGCAGTCTTTTCTTCACTGAAGAAGAAAACTAGCTTGAATGGTCGCTCAGTCATTCATTCACGCAACTGTTCCTCTAGCAATCGTGTACGGCCTGCCTCCTGTAACTGAAGAACTGTGCTCCCTTTAGAAAAATGAAAAAATGACAGTGGAGATGAAGGGGAAATAACAGTCAAAACATTTACCTTCTTCATAGACTTGTTTTATGGCTCTCAGTTCTTCAGGTGTTCTTGAAGCAATAATTTCTGTCAGTACTTTTTCATTTGTCCCAGCTCCCTGTTTGGAAATTTAATAGAGAAAATATGTAAATCAGAGGAAATAAACTTATTTTCCTAGAATAGATGTTACCCAAATTGCATAATTATATAAACATAACATATAAACTATCCATATCATATTCACTTCTTTGTATACAAGTTCTATTAGTTATAGAAATAAAAAATTTCAAACTAATTTTCTCTGCAAAGACAATTTTATCCTTTTTTGTCTAATGAAAAATAATACTTACTGCATGTGTGTGTGAAATGACACATAACAGAGTCTATAAACTCATAATCATATCAGTTTCATTCCAAATAGTTTAAAAGCAAAACATGCAAATGAAACGTGAAATTAAAAAGACCAAAATAGTAAAAATGAAAACTTTACATAAATTTATATTAAACAATCTGTACCTCAAAACATAAACTCTCTGACCTCAAATTTAATTCTCAATGGAATTTCCACAGGTAAATTCTGTACCAAAGGAAATAATAAATGTAGCATTGTTTAGTTATTAGGAACTGGATTAGTACAAAAGGAATTGAAATGTGCTTTCTGGAATTTTGGAAAATACAGTTGACACCTGAACAACATGGGGGTTAGGGTCAATGACCTCCCCCAGTCAAAATCTGTGTATAACTTTTGGCTCTCCAAAAATGTGACTATTGATAGCTTACTGTTCACTGGAAGCCTTACTGATAACATAAGGAGTTGATTAGCACATATTCTCTATGCTATATGTACTATATATTTTTAAAATAAAGTAAGCTATAGAAATGTTATTAAAATCGTAAGACAGAGAAAATTCATTAACCATTCTGTACTATAAAAAATCAGTGTTGTTCAAAAGTCAACTGTAATTTTAGTAGGGTTTCCCTTTTCTGATTGTAAAAGTCATATCTAAATTAGAAGACATAGGCAATAATAGAGTACAATTTAATTTTAAAAGATAGCATATTTAATCTTACTCCTTATATCTGTTTCTTTTCCAAAAATCAAGCCCTGAAAAACCTATGTTTATGCTCTGGCAGTATATCAATTACTGCTGAGATTTCAGAAGTACTCTACAAAAAGGCCCTTTTTCAATAACTTGAGATTTTGTTTACTCCAAAGAAAGCACTTGAGAAAAATGAAGAGAAAAAGCACAGAAAACTTCCTAACTTGGTAAGCCCTCGTCTCCTTCCACTCCATAAATAAGAATCCCTGTGCTACATTATCTCCTTGCTATTAAATCTCATTTTGCCCATTCAAAATCTACTGCTACTTGTACTATTTCCTGCCCCAAAGATCTATACAAATGTTTTAATGTAGTCATATTTACACAATATTCCAAACACCAGTCAAGGAAATATACATTTAGTTATTTGCTACAATGAAATTATAACAAGTTTACTAGCTACTATTTTAGTATTATACTATTTTAGTATTATACTATTTTAGCATTTAGAAGTACTACAGGAAAGAAGGAAAGGGTATTAGAAATCTTTCCTTTATGAAATTCACTCTGTAGCTTTATTTTGTTAACCTAAAATGATCAACAATATTATTTCATAGTCAGACATTTTAAAAACACATCTCAAAACCAGAAAACAGGCATGAAAATAAAATATAAAAGGCCACAAAAATATTAAAATTTTAAATAGTTACTATTACTGAGTTAACTATACAAAAAGATTAAATATCGCACTTGTAATTTTCTCCCTCCTTTTCTTCGTATTGCCTCCTACACAATTTTGTCCCATAAGAAACTCTCACAGAAATAACTCAAAAAATTGTAAATGTAATTACCAACACAAAATAACATGATTCATGACAGGAATGCTCCTCTCACTAATCATCTTACCTTAAGAGCATGCTTCAGTTCGTAGGCATCATAAAGTCGAGAAGGTTTCATCAGAGCCACAATTAATTTTTCAAATTTTCCAGTCAGTTCTGATTTCAGGTCATCCAGAAGATCCTAAATCATGAGAACACAAATGTGTTAAACAGTAACAAATTTTAAGGAGATTCTTCTTAAATATAAAACATAGCCCTTTGCTCTAATGAATTAGTTATGCTGCTATCTCCAAGTAGAAAAAGGCATGAGTTAAACAAATCCCCATAGTTTTGAATAATGTACCCTTGATATTTGACCTAAAGCTTACACTAAAGCAAAGCCACTTCCGTAACAAGGGCTTTGTTCCCACAATATGATTTTCTTAACTCCAATAGTTAAGAAATGAATATTCTTAAAAGGTAAATTAGAGATATTTTTAAAATGTTGTTCTGAGGAACGTATGTATCTTTAAAAACAATTTTCCCAAAACAAAATCATAAATGCATTTTTACAATGACAAAATCTGGCTTATCATACCTATACTAAACAACTTTTCCTCTCAATATCAAATAATATGTAAATACATAAGGAATTATGTTTACAATTATGCTCCCGACCACTGAGAGACAGCTGCTACTCTGGAGAAATTGTGTATATAATTACAAAAAGAAAAGCAGTAGTCCTTACTCATTTCAGTCTCAGCACATAAGCACCTAGAAATTATATTTGGAATACTTTTTTTTTGTTTGCTTGGCATTTATTTTGCAATGAGATGATGAACACAAGCTTTCAGAATAACCAAACTGTGTTTAAGCTTTTCATATATGCAATAATTCATTTAAGAAACAAATTTGGTTTTTACTTTGAATTGTTAATCAAATAAGAGCATTTAAATCAATGAGTTAGAAACTCATTTATTAAAATACCACTCCAAAAGGAACCGATACTGTGACCGTGTCAGAACAAAACATACTGTAACACAGGCTCACACCTGGAAAACAGATAATGAGACAGTCCTGGGTGGGAAGCAGGGAAGGAGAGAGGCAGCTATTACCACGCGATCTTTTGGCACTTTCCTTGCATCAAACAAGGAAAAACAATTATGAGGATAAGCTGGGTGAGCACTACAAACCAACAGCTAATATTAAGAAACTAGAAAAGGAAAAGGAATAATAAAGTCAGAAGAATAGAATAAACACTGTTAACAAAAGACTAATAGAGTTCAACCTTAAAATCATATAGGGGCTCTACATTCTAACTTAGGATGAAGTATAGTCTTACCCTGCCAAACAGAGTTTTAAAAGCTGCAGCAATTTCCTGGCGCTGAGCATTGCTTCGGGATGTCAACAGAGTCAAGATGCTCTCCTCATCAGTGCCTGCAATTTAGGTCCAAAAAATTACATCTTGGTTCCCACACATCCACTGTTTCAATAACCTTTGTGACCAGCCCCCTAGTCACTTCCTTACCTCAAAAAACAGACTTTATTAAATAACTTATTAAGCTATAAAATGTACAATTTGGGTGCCTGGGTGGCTCAGTCAGTTAAGGGTCCGACTTCCGCTCAGATCATGATCTCATGGTTCATGGGTTCGAGCCCCATGTCGGGCTCTGTGCTGACAGCTAGCTCAGAGCCTGGAGTCTGTTTCAGGTTCTATATCTCCCTCTTTCTCTGACCCTCCCCTGCTCATGCTGTCTCTCTCTCTCTCTCAGAAATAAATAAAACATTTAAAAAAATGTTTAATGTACAATTTATAACACATTATATTTTCAATATAAACTACCCCCATTCCTGATGCATTTTTGTGAAGTAGGAAAACATTCCTGACTTTTAAAAAACTTAGTGCACTGAGTTTTCTTGCAACAGATAGTTACTCAAATAATGGCTATTCACAAGGCACAACATATTGGGTGTTACAGAGGATTAAGAGAGGAGAAAAACAGATTCTGGCTTCAGGTTCTAATTTAGGGTAAGAAGAAAAAAAAACAACTACAGACAACCTTGAGCTAAGACAGAATGTAACAAGTGCCTCGGGAGAGGTCTAGGTGTTAAATGGGGTTTCAAAGGAGGTCCTCTTAGCTGACAGGGGTAAGGAGTTTTGGGAAAAGCTTCAGGGAGAAGGTGACCACCTAAAGAGTCTTGAAGGATGGAAGGGTTTTGTCAGGCTGTGATGTAAGAAGGGAAGACAGGCTTTTAGAAGGAGGGAAAAGCTCAGCAGGAGCAACATATAGGGTTTTCACTATGAGCAGATAACACATGGAGTGGTACTGTAAACTGATTCCGACAAAAGGCACTGGGATACTAAGGAAGCCCTTGCACGGCCTGAGAGCTAACGCTAATCCTGCTACAACAGGAAATCTCACAAGATATTCAGCATGGAAAGTGATGGGGTCAGAGCCAGTGTGGAGAAGGCAGATCTCCACACATGGACGCTAGTGCAGAAGGAGCCTGAGGACAAGGGATGAATTCTGTGTAGAAATCCTCAAGATGAGAGGTTTATCATACATGGCTAGAAAGGAATCTGTGGAGAGCTAAGCTGAATGCAAGAAGCCTGCAGAACCAGATAGCTGATGGGGCAAAGTGAACAAAGACCTGCAGAGCTGACCACTCTCAGGAATAACTGCTTATCTACTCAGTCAGCTGCCTTCCAGGTAAACCTGAAAAGTTAAAAACGAAAGGGGCTGAATTTAACTTTCTGTTCAGTTCTAGAGATTGAATATACTGGATATCAGTCATACTATTTTGTTACTTTCATGTATCTTTTCTCTTTCTATACATGTCAGATAAAATTACTTTAAGATTAATCTTATTGTAAATCAGAGACTTTTTGTTTAGAAAAACAAATGTCATATTTTTTTAAGAACAAAGAAAGGTTGAATTTACCCAGGCCTTTCATGGCTTTCCGAAGAGTTTCTGCATCAGCCCGCTCATCAAATCCAGGGAAGGCAGTCACAGTGCCTTTAACCTGAGACAGGAAACATAGTGATATTATTCATGGCATGACTAACATAACAAAACTAGTAACATACAGAAAAAGCCATTGTTCTATATCATGTTTAGTCTTTAAATAAATTTACCATTTGATAACCCCATTTGAAATAGGCAGAGGACCACTTACAGTTTGGATTAGCAGGACCAGTAAGCTATCCTGGCCCACGTGCAAAACCATTAACGGGAAGTCTGACTCCCAAGGCTCTCTTCCCAAGGGCATCACCCCCAGTGATCAAGCCCCAATGATACCTCCTGATTCACAGAGAGCACTTTCTTACAGGATTTTTTCCATTAAGTCTCTTGCCACTTTGAGGACCATGCTAATCCTGCATTAAAACTTGATGTCCTTGGGGTGCCTGGGTGGCTTAGTTGGTTGAGCGTCCGACTTTCGCTTAGGTCGTGATCTCACGGTTCGTGGGTTCGGGACCCGCGTCAGGCTCTGTGCTGACTGCCAGCTCAGAGCCTGGAGCCTGTTTCAGTCTGTGACTCCCTCTCTGACCCTCCCCTGCTCACGCTGTCTCTCTCTCTGTCTCCTAGAAATAAATAAACATTTAAAAAAAAAAAAACAAAAAAACAAAACTTGATGTCCTACCCTAGAGACTCAACTCCAAGCAATGTTCTTACTACATAACTCTTAATCTAGTCCTGTTTTTTTAAATTTACTTAGGGATTTTACGATTACCTGGTAAAGCTTGAAAAGACATTTGATAATTCATATTCTAAATCTTTAAATTTATAACTTTATAAAAGTATATTGGAAGACATTCTTCAAAAGTTTTCCCATTATACTTATTTTGTCATATGTGTAGTGCTTTTCATCATCAAAATATTTTAATATTTCCCCCTCAAAATGTGTATAGCACTAGTTCTTTAGAATCAGAAGGCTTTATGAATACTGAGTCATAAGTTTTTATCTTCTGATAAAAGGAGGATCCCAGAACTTACTTTTACTAGTAAATGTTTTAGAAGTCCTTCAAAACTCCTATCAAGGTTGAGGAAAAAACAGTTATAAGGGGAAAGGAGTTGAGAATACTTGTCTGGCTTATAATCATGCATGTTTTATTATGAATGCATGGAAGCAAAATTACCTACAAGGAAAAAATCCCTGGCAATTTCACATGGTTCAACATAATTAAAAGGAGCAATAGGTTGAGAGAGAAATTGATCAAGATTTGAGAAAATGGTTCTTCAAAATTGGCATGGATTGGGAAAGTCGTATGCTCAGGCCAAACTGCAGTCTCTCTCTGTTTAGTGGGACCACTTCACATTGATCATGAAGACACCATCAATATATCATCATTAAAAATGAATAAATACCACAGGTTCTCTGAACTGTAAGAACTTAGGATGGACAGATGACTTAGTTCACCAGTCTGTTTATTCATTCACTCAATAACCATTCTTTGAATGCTTTCCACATGCCAAATATTGTACTAGTCACTAGGAAAAGGTGATAATCTCTAAAGTCAAGAGGAAACGAGAGGCACGTAAGTAATCAAGTGCAGTAGAGTATACACACACACATACACAGGTTTCACCTGGGTACATATACACATAAAGGAGGGACCAAGCTGGGAAGAATGCAAAGAAATCCGAAAAACTTCCCCAAAAATGTCTTAAAAGTTGCGTGTGATTTTCCAAGGCACATCCAGGAAAGTAGAGAAGTACAGGGAGGTATAATCCAGCATGCATGAAAACATGAAAGAATGAAAAACTCTGGTGCTTTGGACAAAGGGTTAAGAGTTTGAACAGACTGCAACAAGCAGTGTTTGCATAGATAAACAAACATGGGGAAGGTAAAGGGGGGGTGGGGGCAAGGAGGAGCTGGAAAGCCATGGTAAGAAGTACAGACTTCCTCCTGTAGGCATAGGGAAGTCATAGAGGACATCTACAGAGGGAAGAACAATGTTGATCCTGCATAGTAATATTACTAGGACTTCAGTGGAGACAATGGAATGGACTGTGCAAGAGTGGAGACAGGGGCACTATTTTAAAAACTAACACAGGAAGAAGATAAGACCTGGTCAAAGCAAGGAGCAGTGGCCATAGAAAGGAAAATGACATGGAAAGGAGCAATAGACATGGCAGAAGGGAATTAATTCTAGTGATTCCTTTCTTGGATAAGGAATAGGATCACTGGTTTTACATTTCTCTCCAGTAGGCATACTGGAAGAGAAATAGGCTTTGCCAGTTACCAGGGCACACTGGAGCTGTGTGAGGAGCCTATGACAGAAGGCAGTATTTGTGGGATGGAAAGGAGGGTTGGCAGAGAAGGGAAGGTCACCTACAATCACAATGGCAGCTAATATCTGCTGAGAGTGGCAATGAGTCAAGCACAGTGCTCAGAGCTTCACATGGATCATCTCCATGAAACCTCATTTTACCTTAGAAAGGTTTAGAGAATCATCCAAGGGAATAGCAAACAAGTGGCCAGAGCTGTATTTGAATACAGGCCATTGGACTGTGGGCTACCAGTCATGAAGCTATCTAGCCTCCCAAAGACAAAAAGAAAATCTCCAAAGAGGGTGATGGCATGGAGAAGACAAATGAGAAAAATGTACCAGAAGGAAAGGAAGAAAAGGCAGTGTCCAATACCACAGAGAAGTGAAACAGGAGGTGAGAGTGAAAAGGGTTCCCTGGACTTAGTAATGAGGAGGTCTTTGGTGGTGGGAAAAGCCTGATTGGAGAACAGTGAAAAGTGAATTGCAAGGCAAAACATCTCCATGAACTCCAATTTTACAAATATGGGTTTTTTAAAAAAAAAAAAAAAAAAAAAAAACATGCTTCTAAAAGCTCACTTAAAAAAAAAAATAACACTTTATCCAGGGTCACCCGAGTGGCTCAAGTCAGTTAAGCATCTGACGCCTGATTTCAGCTCAGGTCATGATCTCATGGTTCCTGAGTTCAAGCCCTGCATCTGGCTCTGTGCTGACAGTGCGGAGCCTGCTTGTGATCCTAGGTCTCCCTTTCTCTCTGCCCCTCCCTCATTCTCATTTTATCCCTCTCTCTCTCTCAAAATAAATAAATAAACATCTAAAAAACACTTTATCCAGTTTATAGGCTATGAAATTGCTAGTAGATAAAGAGGTTAAGAAGAGGCTAGATAAGAGAGATTTGCTTAAAAATACATCTGACCTGGGACTGGAGGAATTGAGGTAAAAGATAGAAGGAAGAGGAATACCCTCAGAATCTCAGCTACTCTATGAAGAAATAACTGCTGGTTGTATTTTTAAGAGCTTTCTAGAAATTGGGAAACACGTGCTACATTCCACATGATCCGAGTCATTGTCAAAAGCTGGCCAAAGCCACGTAGTGGTAGTAACGGACCAGATGTGAGTCAGACATGAGTCACAAGGGCAAAGACTTTGTTTGGACATCCTGCCCAAACCCTATCCCTGCCCACACAAAAGTGTCTATACTGGGCAGATGTGACTTTCCATGACTCATACCAGAGGGCTTCTCCCTCTTCCTGTAGTACCTACTGGCCTCAAGTTAAACATTTATACCTTACCAAGGTTAACTCCAACTATAAGTAGGTACTGTTCCCTTCACCCATTCCCCAGTCTGTCCTCAATTACCTTCACTCCTGGCCACTAATGCCTTATCAAGGAAATTATTATATATCCTTAGACGATATATGGCCAAAACATATAATTCCCTCTTCTAACTCTCACCTTCAAAATTATCCACTCTTCTAGCTCTATAATTTTGTTGGCCTTTTTTTTCATTTATTCTAAATGAGCAAGTTCTTTACCTTCAAAGACTAGGCAGGCCAAAATAAAATGAATAAAATTAAACCAAAACACAAGTGAAGGGTTGCTTTTCTAGACAGAATTTAAAGAAACAGGAAAACAACACAGAAATAACTTCAAATTTAGGGTTGCCTGGGTGGCTCAGTAGGTTGAACGTCTGATTTCAGCTCAGGTTATAATCTTATGGCTCACGGGTTCGAGTCCTACATCGGGCTCTGAGGCTGACAGCCTCAGATTCTGTGTCTCCTCTCTCTACCCCTCCTCCACTCACACTCTTTCTCTCTGTCAAGGAAGGAAGGTTTGAGGTGTGGGAAAAGATAAGAATTAGTAGGGGATTTGTTGAATTTGCGTTCTTTATAAAATATTTAGGAGGTGCTGTCTAGTAAACAGCAGGGTATATATGCTCTTTCAATCCTCTTTCATCTCTATAGTCTTTTATTTCTGTATTATTTCTCTTCCTACAACTAAAAATGGTTTGAGGCTAACATTTCCTACCTCTGTGTAGGACCAACCTTGTTTGTTAGGTTTCTGCCCCTTGTTTAGATACAAAAGGAAATAAAGTTGTGAATCCATGCACACTCTGCTCTAATATGAAAAATCTATATGCTTATTTTCTGAAGCATTGGTGAATAAATTGGTTAGTAATATAGCTTTTCAATTACTGTTCACAGAATGCCCACTTGAACAGTTAGGTAAAATGGAACCCCACATACCCCCATACCAAATGTGTATTCATTGGAAGCTAAAGCATTTGCCCACTCTAACTAACTCAAGGCATCACAATTATTGACAGACAGTTTAGCTTTCCATTTACTGATATTTGCCAAGGGAAGGCATTCTTATCCTGGTGGGGAAGTAGTCATAGTCATGGGAGTATTAAAGAAACAACAAAAACCTAAATCATGCTGACAAAGCCTTTATTTTGTTATCCAAACTTCTTTTCTACCTCTGTGTATGTAACTTAAACTATTTATGTGATATTTTCCCCCTTAAACTTGATTTTAAGAAAGGGTCAAAGGTAATGGTCTAAGGTCAATTTAAATTTAAGTCTCTGAATTTAACTTTCACTTTTTGTTGTTAAATGTTTATTTATTGAGAGAGAGAGCGCGTGCGCGAGTCCTTGCGCATGTCCACACTGCATGGGGCAGAGAGTGAGGGAGAAAGAGAATCCTAGGCAGGCTCTGCACTGTCAGTTGGGCATTTAACTGACTGAGCCACCGAG